GAGAAGCTGCAGTGTCTGTGTGTGTGTGCGTGAGGCTGTAGTGTCTGAGTGTGTGTGTGTGAGAGAAGCTGCAGTGTCTGTGTGTGTGTGTGTGAGAAGCTGCAGTGTCTGTGTGTGTGTGTGTGTGTGTGTGCGAGGCTGTAGTGTTTGTGTGTGTGTGTGTGTGCGTGTGTGAGGCTGTAATGTCTGTGTGTGTGTGAAGCTGCAGTGTCTGTGTGTGTGCTTGTGTGAAGCCGCAGTGTGTGTGTGTGTGTGAGGCTGCAGTGTCTGAGTGTGTGTGTGTGTGTGAAGCTGCAGTGTGCGTGTGTGAAGCTGCAGTGCCTCTGTGTGTCTGTGTTTGTGCTCTTCATAGAGGGACACGGGGGAGAACTGGAGCTGATTTGTCTTATCACCCTCAGCCTGCTCCAGGCTCAGTGGGACACTGGGTTTCATCTTGTGCGGAGCTTGATCGGGTTTTCAGAATGTGCATTTAGGAACACACGCAGAACAGGCTCATTTACAAAGGTCTGGGCGGATTTGCCTGTTTTCCTCAGCGCGGTTGAACGGCCATTCATTCCTTGAGAAATCTTGGATTCATCAAAACCGGGCAGCTCGCAAACTCCTTCTCGTTATTCACATCGTGTTGCCAATTCCTCGCAAACTGAGAACAATTTCTTAAAAATGATCATGCTGGTCAAATAATCACTGGAGAAAGCAAATTATAGGGCTATACCTAACTGATAAGGTTATTACATACTTAACGTTTGCACTAAACAGTGAATATATAGTTAATATGCAAAATAATTGTACAACGGTAGGTTACACTTTGTTGGTTAAAAATGTGTTGTCCCTGATAATAATTACACCTGCACATGCTTGAGTAAACATCTTGTCCACTATCAGTTTTACCATTGATGTGATGAATCAAACATTTAATCATTTGCTCAGATTTTGAAGAACAATTTCAACAATTTCTCTTTAACCATATAAGATGTCAAATTGTTCTCGAATCCACTGCGTTTTCTTTCAAGTACCTCCTGTCCTTGGGAGCATGGTCTGAAGGGCATGGTTAGCAATCCCATGTTCTTTGATGGTACTGAGTTCCATTTCTCCATCTCTCTGCCTTGATCTCAAATGCCATCCTGCTATTAGACTGCCTGTCCAGAATAAAGAATCATATGATCTGTAACTTCATCCTGCCCAGTCATTGTGAAGGCTGGGGTATGCTCTTCAGTCATCAGCACAGATTTAATTCCCTTCCTATTGATTTGATCCCACACATTAGTCACTCTTGGACTCACCCATCCAACCATTAATCTTAATACCTGATTAATAGAACATAGAAAACAATACAGCACAGGAGCAGGCCCTTCAGTCTACCATGTCTGCGCTGAACATGACACCAGTCTAAACTGATCACATCTGCCTGTGCATGGTTCATATCCCTCTATACCCTGCCTGTTCATGTGTCTGTCTAAATGCCTCTTAAAAGTTGCTGTTGTATCTGGTTCTACCACGCCCCCGGCCACGCATTCTACCCCTAGATAATGAAATCCCACATCCTATCTATCAGTAAGATTACTCACATAGCACTCTATAAGACTGTCTGCCATCTTCCATCCATTTCAACGCTATCTTCTCTGAAACCCAATTCCATGTTGTCCTAATCTTTATGAAATATTACTATAATACTTTATAGTACAGTAATACTTTCCTTGGGATCTCCTATTCTTCACCCCAGATAAAATTCAGATTATTAAAAAGCCCGCCTGTTCTCTAACAATTTCCATTAACTCCTAATTCCCCAACACTACACATATAAGATCTGACTTTACCTATAAATCTGCATACTGTTTGGTTACATCACTGCTCCTCTAACCTTATCTCATCTATCAAACACACTGTGATTTTGGCCTTTGCTCTGAGGAGCTCAAGTGGCACATTGGGTAGCATCCCTGTCTTAATATCCATCACTCCTGAATATAACATATATGTAAAAGTTCATGTTGCCACAGCAACCTGGAATCCCTGAGTGAACTGTAACACATCACCACTCTTAGTTCTATCTTATGTGGAATTTTCTCTTCACTGATCCATTTTCCTCTTCAAATCTTTTGAACATCCTCTACATCCAGCTGATGTAGGTTATCTCCTCTAACTTTGATAGTCAGTGTCTGCTTTCCTTCAATGTACTTGTGAAGATCCAGCAACTATTTCTTGCTTTAAAGTAATTACAAAGTCACAAAGTTGATCAATAAACGCTATTGTGATATAACATGGCTTACCACACCAGTTGAAAATTAACTAGCAAATAAAGGAACTAACATTCACATTATGTTCTTTTACTATTTCTAAACTGTTGTTGTCATTATGTTCTTCAAACCTGCTATAGCCAAATGAGTTGAACCTGAATTCATTCCATTTTAATTATTTCTGTAGGATATCTAAAACATATTAAATGATTATAAATTATTTCACAGCCTAGTATAAGATCTGCCTTTTGCAATGAGATTAAAAGAGAAACAATACAATAGAATTTTTGCTGTGCACTGAATGTCGCTAAATGCTAAAGAGTGATGCTGGCTGCATTTTATCTGGGTGTATAACATCTGCTCTGCCAGGACCCTAAGAAACTACAGAAAGTTGTATATGCAGCCCAGACCATCATGAAAGCCAACCTCCCATCCATGGACTCCATCTGCACTTCTCTTTGCCATGGAAAGGCTGTCAACATCATCAAAATCCCCTCCTACCCCAGTAATACTCTCTTCCAACCTCTTCCTTCAGGCAGAAGATACAGAAGCTTGAACACGCACCAACAGGTTCAAGAACAGCTTCTTCCCTGCTGTTCTTAGACTGCTGAATGGACTTCTCTAATTTCAAATCTAGTGTTGATCTTGCTTTTGTTCACCTCCTGGGCAGTTGTAACCTTGCATGCCTCACTCTCCTTAAACACCCTATGATCTGCTTGTATGTTATGATCTACCCTTACTGCTCGCGAAACAAAACTTTTCAATGTACTTAGGTACATGTGACAACAATAAATCAAATCAAATCAGTCATTGACAATTAATTTTTGCAATAGCCTTGTGGATTCTATCATGTCAGTCCCTTTTTGATCGTACTGTAACCAGGGTCATACAAATGCAATGTGCCTGTGACTGTAGCAGCATGTATATGCTTTACTTTGTGTTGCCACGTCCAGAAAGCATGTACGTTTTCCATAAAAATTCATTCTCTTGTCAAAATGTGTTTAATGTGGACGCACTGATGGACTCACAATATGTTGTCAGTGATCACATGATGCCACGAGAGCCACAGACAATCTGTCCACCCCAGCTGGACTGATTTTCAAGGAAACTGTTGCAACTCTTTATGTCTGTGATGGCACTAATGACTCCGATAATCAGCTATAAAAATGCAATAGCCTTTCACGAAGGGGCATCAAATCCCACTTCATTTGCTGAATGCCTCACCAGCAATCTCAATTATGTGACTTAAACTGCTGGTTTTTGAACAGCTTTAAATTATACAGTTTTCACTTCCTTCATTATTCTGTTTTGAACATCAGAAGAGAAAACAGTAAAACAGCTCCAGGCTTAGCTGCCGCCTGCTTCAATTTATCGTAAAATTCTTAATTCTGGAAATAATAATGTCACTTGAAAAGTGAACAAATTTTCCACCCTACAAGAACTATATTGCTGCTCCTTTAACTACAATTCAAGTGTATCCAAGCTTCTATAAAATGTACAATATTGACTTACTTGACTCTATTTCACAGGAATTAATGTTAATGCCTTTGATTCTTTTTTCAGTCATTTGTAAATTCTTTTTACTTTTCTCTTCTTTCTTCTTGTGTCAGTATATGTACATGTCTGCACCAGTGTGTGTGTGTGTGTGTGTGTGTGTGTGTGTGTGTGTGTGTGTGTGTGTGTGTGTGTGTGTGTGTGTGTGTGTGTGTGTTTGTCCAAATTAGCTCCTCAGTTGAATGCTTGAATAAACCATCCTTTTTGTCTTAATCCTAAAGGGAGTTTATTGCGAGTCAATTTAAAATTGACTTCACAAACTGAAGGTCTTTTTTTGCCAGAGGGGTCACACCACAGCTTTTTTCAAAAAGGAAATTAAATTTTAAAAGATATTAAAATTACCTGTGTTATGGACAGTGGAGAAGAACAGTAAAAAAAATTCACCTTGGCTGTGACATACTCTATCCTGCTAATGCAATTAAGTACATATTCTTCAGAAAAAGATTAGGCACAAAATCTACATTTGCTTTGTAAATTTTTGGTGCTCATAACTACTGTAATTTAAAACGCATACACTAAAATACTGTCTTTCTTCTGTTACAGAGCTGGGATCACAGGTTCATAAGAAATACATGGACAATACTGTGATCGAAGTTAGGCAGGCTGTGGAGGAAGTGCGAGCAACAATGTTATATTGGGTATAAAAATTATATCTTTTTTAATCTTCAATTTTCTCCTATCCCATCATTTTCTAAGAGGATTTGCTCTAGCCACTGTCTGATATTTACCCAAATACACATTGTTCAGATGTCAGTTTGAGTTTTGAGCTCAACTGGCTGCACACTATTGCATTAAGTTAGGCATTACTGTTGAGTCCAATTCCACAATCACACAACATTCACACTTCCTGTAGAAACCAACAGACATTAATTCTAAAGCATGAAACAGTACAGATTTATAATTTGACATTTGAATTACAAGACAAAAGGGAGAGGGGAGAAATTGGATTTAACTGAAAGCAGTTTCTTTCATTGTCGATTTATGTGGCATATCTTTGTCAGTTACTGACGTACAAAGTAAGTATACAAATCACTACTCATTCTAAAAGGCAAAGACCCTCAATGGACAAAGGCAGTGAGTAAATGATACAAGCATTGCACCAAGATCCCAGGTAAAAATCAGAAAGTACTGGAGAAACTTGGCAGGTCTGGTAGCATCTATAGAGAGAGAAACAGTTAACCTTTCAAGTTCAATTTTGGTCCTATCCAGGACTGGGTCTATATTTTTTGTTTGTGAGGGAGGATTAGACTTAACATCAACCATCCTTCTTCTCCCTGTTATGGCCAATTAGAATGCTGCCATTAATCTATAAAAATTGACTACTTGGTCAAAAGCCAGAGAGGTACTTTATCCTGTAAAAGTCATCGTGTGGGTACGTGCATGTAATACGGTGATTAAAAAGTGTGTCTCTGAATACTGTAATTACAAGGCTGAAGATGTCTTTTGTCTTCACATTTCAAAGTTTTGGCATATGTGAAAGAGAAATCCACATAATCGTTACTTTAATGTACCCTTACCTTGTGTAAATATAGTCATTAAGGTCTGAACACAAGTGTATAAAAAAAGCAGATATCCACAGTGCAAATTGCAGCCCCTACAAATTGTTCCATTCTCTGTTTAAATTGTGTGCTCTTCAACACATCTAAAACATTATTTTGACGTTCTTCTGCGCTTATGACCCTGGGATTTCACAGGTTTCATTTTATCAGCATTCTGTTGCTGTCCATGGGAGTTTCACAAATGTTAGCTTTCCTGGTATCCATCCTTAAAGACTTGCAGTTCAATCAGGTAATACAGATATCCTTAAGATGAAGTCACTGTGACTGTTGCCTTGGAAACAGACATATGAATCCATGATGTTGTCACAGTTGACATAAACATTGATGTATTAGAGGGCTTTATGAATACATAGAACCCCTACAGTGTGGAAACAAGCCATTTGGCCCACCGAGTCTATACTACCCCTTCAGAGGGCTTCCCACTAAGACTCACACCCCTACACTGTGCCTGTAAGTCTGCATTTCCCATGTCTAATACAACTAGGCTGCTCAACCCTGGACACTAAGGGCAATTTAGCATGGCCAATCCACCTAATCTGCGCATCTTTGGACTGTGGGAAAAAACTGGAGCACCTGGAGGAAACCCATGCAGACACAGGAAGAACATTACAAACTCCACACAGACAGTTGCTTGAGTCTGGAATTGAACCCAGGTCCCTGGTCCTGTGAGGCAGCAGTGTTGACCACTGAACCACTGTACTGCCCCAATGCTGTGGAACTGTGTGCAGGAGCTTATTAAATGTAATTCAGTGAGCTTTTAGGAGCAAAGTTTGAACTGAATAGTATAGGTGCATTTAAGGGGAAGGTAGATAAACAATGAGGAAGGAGGGAATAGAGAATCACAAGAGAGACTAGTGAGATACCACCACCAGGCACATAATACCCTCCCCTCCCTTGTCTGCCTCCTGCAGTGACTGTTCCTTCTGGGACACCCTGGTCCACGCTTCCGTCAGTCCCAACACCCACCAAAGCCCCATGGCACCTTCCCCTGCAACCGCCGAAAGTGTAACGCCTGCCCATTTACCTCCACCCTCCCCAGTCTCCAAGGCCCAAACATACCTTCCAGGTGAAGCAACACTTCACCTGCACTTCTCACAATCTAGTCTACTGCATTCGCTGTTGACAATGTGGTCTCCTCTATATTGAGGAAACTGAGTGTAGATTGGATGACTGCTTCACAGAACATTTACGTTCTGCCCACAAAAAGGAGCCTGAGCTTCCAGTTGCCGGCCAATTTAACACACCACCCTGTTCCCTGGCCTCTGCCTCAGGCTTGCTGCAGTGTTCCAGCGAAGCTCAGCGCAAGCTGGAAGAACAATGCCTCATTTTCATTCAGATGCTGCCAGACCTGCTGAACTTTTCCAGCAACTTTGTTTTTGTTCCTGATTTACAGCATCCGCAGTTCTTTTGGTTTTTAATGCCTCATTTTCCACTTGGGGACCCTGTAGCCCTCTTGACTCAATATTGAGTTCAATAATTTTAGGGCCTGAACTCTCCCATGTCCTAACCCCCAATCCCACACGCCATGCCTTGTTGTCACATTGTCTGCCATTGCACACTACCTATTGTTAGCCACTGGCAGTGTCCATTAACAGCTATTCACCCTCCTAGCCAGATTATTATCCACTCCTTTGTCCATCCCACTGTTCTTCTCTCTCTTTGGGCTCTATCCTCACCTATCGTTTACTCCTGACTCCCTCCCCCAACTCTATCTTCTGCACAAAAACCGACATTTTCCTAGCTACCATCAGTTCTGAGGAAAGGTCACTGGACCGGAAACATTAACTCTGATTTTCTCTTCACAGATGCTGCAAGACCTGCTGAGCTTTCCCAGCAAATTGTGTTTTTCTTTCTGATATACAGCATGCACAGTTCTTTCAATTTTTAATCATAAGGGTAGATTTTACAAAGGAATTGGCAGGAAACTCTTGTGGGATATAAACATGGCATGGGCTGGGACTGAAGATCTCTGGTCACCAATGTCAAAGGCTGCAGATGGAGAAGAGTGAGAAGTAATACTTTACTTTGCTCACAGTTACGTAGAATGTGAAATTCTTTGCCACAATGTCAGTTTTCTGATTCGTGCATCAGTTCACTCCATTTTAACCAGTAATTGTGATGTCTTTTGTGGCAGCTAGAATAAAAAAGATTTTCTAGTAGCTCAGTGCCATGGTGACTGACTGTCCTTGTGGTGGTGGTCAGGTTCTAATACACAGCATGACTCCGTCACTGCCTCCTTTGTGAAGCAGAGCTATCGGAAATTATGTCCTTTATCATTTTAAGGGTGTGTGCGTCTGCAGATATGACTCCATTGGTAAGTAAGAGTTCAGTTGCTGCAATTATAATTGAGAAAATGACTACTACTCTGAGGATTGCTCTTGTATTTCTCTCTACAGTCCTCATTGACCCCTTCAGTATTGGTAAGACTAATCTAGCCTGCCGAACACACCTTTTTTTAGTGATTCTTCCTCCTGTAAAATTGGAACCCCTCATTAGAGTTCCTATCTCCTAAATTATTATCAGAGCAGGTAAAACTGTGTTAGCCAAAATTCTTGGTCAAAATTTCGATTAAGTAACTAATGGAAAGTAACATGCAACGTGTTGTTAAGGAAAAGTTCCATTCACGGAGGTGCTTCTGAAAATAGGGTAAGTTCCTCTTCAAATGTTGCTTTCCTATCAGCCCAGAACATTCCAGGTCCACGACACCTACTTTGCTTAGCATCAAACAAATGAAAATTGCTGGAAGTTGTGCAAAAATTAAAAGATATCAATTAAATGCTTTTGAATATTAAGCTGACGTAGTGTGCTTTAGAGCTGACGTCCTGAAGAGAATTTGCCTGAGTGCAGTGCAGACCAAGAAGAGAGTTAGTAGGATTGATGTCCTTCCAGTTTCCTGTCACCTGTGATGGTAATAACAAGATATACCGTTCTAATGCTAAAGCACTGCAAAGTGCAAGTATACTGGACATATAAATCTATTTACAGGCTTTTTCTGGAAAAGTAATTTCCCCTGATGGATACAAAAGAAGGATTTTGCCTTAATTCATAAACTTGATCTGCTTATACTCTGTATTGTCAACATTAAATAACATGTGAATTATGTCTTTACTTAGCCATTTAGTTCTCCATACTGCTGCTCACTTCAGACAAAAGGTAAGATAATTTGAGCCAGTGGGCTGACCCTAGCTGTTACCAATGTTGCACCTTAACAGATGTTCTTTATGGACAAGCCACTTTTCACATTCTGCCTGGGAATATGGCCAAGCCCTGGTGAATCTTACCCGCTGTGGAGAGATGAGTATGAACACTTAATGATAACTGCCGAAGTTCTCTATCCAGAATGACTTAAAACCAATGTAAATGATTTTTCATAAGGAACAGACAGCGATTATCATTAATTACACTTTCATTTTGTGTAAATGCTTGTCCAGGCCAAAAAGGAGAAAGAAGAGGCAGTGAAAGTAGCTTTGGTTCAGGCTGCAAATGAAAGGAAAAAAGAGATTGAAGTGTTAAAGAAGATACACATGGATGAAACGAACGTAAGTACTTGATTTAACCATTTGTTACAACACCGGACTCGGAGATGTGAGTGCTGCCGAGTTGCAGTTATTAGGAAGAGAAGGAGGTGGAGAAGCAAAAGATATTAGGGAGGACATTCCAGACCACTGGACTATTTGGATAAAGGTGATTACAGGAGGGATGAAGGAAGGCAAACCAGATTCAGAGGAATGAAACACTTGGGATGGGGAGCAGTTTTTGTGCTGGAGGTAGAGAATTTTAAAAATAATATTGAAATCTTTAAATATGAGCTGTTATGGAAATGAAAGCTAATAGGTCAGTGAAGGGAGGAGTGGGGACTGAGTGGGGCTCGAATTGGACGGCACAGTTTCATATAAGCTGGAGTTTAATGTCCCAGTGTTAGAGGTGAGAGTGAAAAAAGAGAGGTTATTATCGAGATAGTTGATAATGTGGAATAGGATCTTACAGATTTTTTTTCTGAGTGACATGGACTTTGGCAAGATTTGTGGCAGAATCACAAAGTTGAGAGAGCCCTGCCTTGATGTCAGGATCTTCTCACTCCACCTTTTATGTTTTCCACCACTGGAGAGGTGAGTTACTCACGAGGTAGCAGCGAGCTGTCAACTAAGGGGGATTACAGCTCTTTAAGATGCCTTATTAACAACCCAAGTCACATCAATTAATAGAGTGTAGAGCTGGATGAACACAGCAGGCCAAGCAGCATCAGAGGAGCAGGAAGGCTGACGTTTCAGGCCGAGACCCTTCTTCAGAAATGGGGGAAGGGAAGGGAAGGGGGATCAGAAATAAATAGGGAGAGAGGGGGAGGCGGATAGAAGATGGAAAGAAGAGAAGATAGGTGGAGAGGAGACAGACAGGTCAAAGAGGTGGGGATGGAGCCAGTAAAGGTGAGTGTAGGTGGGGAGTTAGGGAGGAGATAGGTCAGTCCAGGGAGGACTGCAAAAATGCCATCCCCTATTCCCAATTCCTTTGCCTCCGCTGCATCTGCTCCCAGGATGAGGCATTCCACTCCTGTATATCTCAGATGTCCTTGTTTTTCAAGGAACGCAACTTCCTCCCCTCAGTGGTCGAGAACGACCTCGACCGTGTCTCCCGCAACTCATCCCTCACACCCCCTCCCCACAATAACAACCAAAACAGAATCCCCCTCGTCCTCACGTACCACCCCACCAACCTCCAGATCCAACGCATCATCCTCCAACACTTCCATCATCTGCAATCTGACCCCACCACCAAAGACATTTTTCCCTCCCCACCCTTATCTGCTTTCCGGAAGGACCACTGTCTCAGTGACTCCCTTGTCCACTCCACACTCCCCTCCAGCCCCACCACACCCGGCACTTTTCCCTGCAACCACGGGAAGTGCTACACCTGCCCCTACATCTCCCCCCTCACCCCCATCCCAGGTCCCAAGAAGACTTTCCACATCAAGCAGATGTTCACCTGCACATCTGCTAATGTGGTATACTGTATCTGCTGTTGCCGTTGTGGCCTCCTCTACACTGGGGAAACCAAGCGGAGGCTTGGGGACCGCGTTGTAGAACACCTACGCTCGGTTCGCACTAAACGACTGCACCTCCCAGTCGCAAACCATTTCAACTCCCCCTCCCATTTCTCAGACGAGATGTCCATCCTGGGCCTCCTGCAGTGCCACAACGATGCCACCCGAAGGTTGCAGGAACAGCACCTCATTCCGCTTGGGAACCCTGCAGCCCAATGGTATCAATGTGGACTTCACAAGCTTCAAATTCTCCCCTCCCCCCACCACATCCCAAAACCAGCCCAGCTTGTACCCGTCTCCCTAAGCTATCCTCCCACCTATCCCCTCCTCCCACCTCAAGCCACATCCCCATCTCCTACCTACCAACCTTGACCTGTCCGTCCTCCCTGGACTGACCTATCTCCTCCCTAACTCCCCACCTACACTCACCTTTACTGGCTCCATCCCCGCGTCTTTGACCTGTCTGTCTCCTCTCCATCCATCTTCTCCTCTATCCATCTTCTGTCTGCCTCCCCCTGTCTCCCTTTTTATTTCAGAACCCTCTTCCCCACCCCCATTTCTGAAGAAGAGTCTAGGCCCGAAACGTCAGTCTTCCTGCTCCTCTGATGCTGCTTGGCCTGCTGTGTTCATCCAGCTGTACACCTTGTTATCTCAGATTCTCCAGCATCTGCAGTTCCTACCATCTCTCTCCACGTCAATTAATTCTCAGCTTCCTATCTTACCGAACAAGGTAAACGTCAAGAAAACTCAACATGGAAATCAGGGAGTGATACCAGCTCACTACTTGCTCCAAAGGACATCCATGTTGGATACCAGGCTCCAATATCTCCACGCACACTCCATGGGCACTGGTCACATGCCCCCATGTCCATGGACATTGGCAGCTGATGTGTGCCAGCCTCTAAGAATCCTCATGGTACTTCTCCAATCTATTCACAGGATTCTTCTGCACTTTAGTGCTGCACATCAGGCTGAACCAGCAACTCTCATTGTAACGCTGCAGCAAGGACACTGTGCTCTAAGGGACAAACACCTGGGTAAAGGACCAGGCTGTATCTCCAGGATCTTTGCTCTCAGTCATGGTATTCACTCACTCTGAGCCGACCTGGATGCTCACTGCTCCCTCCCTTGCGTTGTCTTACCTGTTTGCATTTTGTCCTACAGCAGGAGACACATATTATTTCTCCAAAACCAATTTGGAACCTTGGATATGATCAGTCAGCCACTTAGGGCAGTCAGAGTCAGGAAAATCTTCTCATAAACAGTAAGAAGCTGAATGCCCCTATTGTGGGCTATTTGTCTCCTGGAATGAGAGAGCAACTGGTGTTTTGGGAGATAAAAATGGACGGCACAGCAATTACTTTCAATACAGGTGGGGAGGTTCCCAGAGAGAGTAAGTAGGCAGTGCAGAGAGCATTGGTGGGTGTTTGGGGGTGTGGGGAGTTGGGTGGAGGATGGTGGTGGTGGTGGTTTAGTGGTGTATTGGATAGGGGTGTGGGGGCAGATGAGGGAAGATATTTCAGGCAAAAGTAAGATTGGGAGAACATGAGCCTTGATGGGAAGCTGAATACAGTAACGGAGATAGGGTGAGTGTGAGGTATCAGAGAGAAGGTGGTGACACTTACACTGGCAGAATGGAGAAGCTCATTGGCCATCTTCCTATATCTAACTGCTCTAACCCAGGTGTCATCAGATCAGGTTGGCATGGTCTGGTTTAATGGCCTCACCGCTGATCTTGGGCATGAGGATGTGCACCCTCTCTTCACCAAGCCATCCAGTGGGACCTTCAGATCCCTTCCCACAAAACAGGGCACTGATTACTCTGTGAATGTCCAGGGCAAAAATCAAGAACTGTGCAAGGCAGCTCCAGACGGATAGTGGTTGTCTGGGTGCACAATGGACTTTTAAAGACAGTGCGGGCACATGGGATGCAGGTTAAATCCGGGATATTGCCAGCAGTGGGAAGTTATTCTGGGAATGGTAAGATGGGGCTTGAATCAGATGTGAGAGCTTCCATAGCGGGTGGAGAGTATGTGGTTGATAAGGTACATTTGGTAAGGAACGGTGAGAAAACCCACAAGGCATCACAGTGAATAACCCTTCAAAAAACCTGACTCAACTTTCATTTAGCCAAAATAATGTGAGGTTCAGCCCATTATCTACTATCGTTCTGCCCACTGAGGTTCAAAGAGCAGAGCAATATTGAGAGCTGCAATATTATATAAGTTCTAAGCAGGGGTGTGCAGCAGTGAGTCTTATCATTTGACATATTACTCAATTGCAATTGCATCCTTTATATATTCTGTGGTTAGAAGTGTGCTCCTTAACCCATAAACATGCTTCCTAGCAAAGAATTTACTTTCTGTTCATGTTTGGCTCAGTCTGTTTTACTTTCACAGCTCCAATGAATATTGAAACATTTTTTGGTCTTTCTCTAATTGCCCACTTGTATTGTTGAAGATCATAAGGAGCACTTTGTTTCAACAATCAATAATCAGTCAGTGCAAGGCATTCAGGAGCTGCTACATGCCATTTAGGTTCGAGATACCATCCATTGGTAGACAAAATAAAATCAAAGTATTGCAGATGTTGGATATCTATAATGAAATGAGAAGATGTTGGTGAAATTTTGCAGATCTGGCAGCAGCTGTGGAGAGAGATATATAGTTAACATTAACTCTGCTGTTCTCTCGCCACAGTTTTTTATTTGTTTTTATTAACCATTGGCTGCAGGTCTTTAGGAAATTTTCTGCCGAGGAGTGGCAGACGAGGTTTAATTTAGATAAATGTGAGGTGCTGCAATTTGGAAAGGCAAATCAGGGCAGGACTTATACACTTAATGGTGGGGTCCTGGGAAATGTTGCTGAGCAAAGAGATCTTGGAGCGCAGGTTCATAGTTCCTTGAAAGTGGAATCGCAGGTAGATGGGATAGTGAAAACGGCATTTGGTACACTTGCCTTTATTGGTCAGCGCGTAGAGCATAAGAGTTGGGAGGTCATGTTGCTGCTCTACAGGACATTGGTTCGGCCACTTTTGGAGTATTGTGTGTAATTGTGGCCTCCATCCTATAGGAAGAATGTTGTGAAACCAGAAAGTGTTCAGAAAAGATTTACAAGGATGTTGCCGGGGTTGGAAGGTTTGAGCTGTAGTGAGAGGCTGAATAGGCTGATGCTATTTTCCCTGGAGTGTCAGAGGCTGAGGGGTGACCTTATAGAGGTTTATAAAATCATGAGGGGCATGGATAGGGTAAATAGACAAGGTCTTTTCCCTGGGGTGGGGGAGTCCAGAACTAGAGTGCATAAGTTTAAGGTGAGAGGGGAAGAAACTAAAGGGACCAAAGGGGAAATTTTTTCATGCTGAGGGTAGTGCATGTATAGAATGAGCTGCCAGAGGAAGTGGTGGAGGCTGGTACAATTGCAACATTTAAAAGACATCTGGATGGGTATATGAATAGAAGGGTTTAGAGGGATATGGGCCAAATACTAGCAAGTGGGACTAGATTAATTTAGGATACCTGGTCAGCATGGATGAGTTGGGCCGAAGGGTCTGTTTGGGTGCTGTATATCTCTACGACTATGACTTTATGACTTCATAAAAAAGATCTGTGTCTTTACTGATATTTTGGTGATTTATTTGGTGGTCATTTGCTATATGACTCACTGAATGTCATTTATTATTTCAACTTCAATCTTAGTGTTTAACTTTGAAGAAATTCTGTATCTTAAAATTGTTTTCTCAAAGATGCCTAATCCACTGTTCTGTTTGGCCCAACTCTGACATTATATAATTTTAAAAGTATTATTTCTCCTTTCATTTCTTCATAACATATTTACTTATTTTTATTTATTTTAAACTGATTTAAATCTGTGCCATCTTAATACAATATGTAATCTGTACTCTTCAAGCTTGTATTCTTGCAATAGAACATTGCGTTCTTAAATTCTTCATTAAAGTTTCTTTAGACTTCTAAGCTGTGCATGTAGTCTTTAAAACTATGTTTTACTGAAATATTTTGTGATACTTTTACAAGAACGCATTAAATTCTGTGAGCTAGCAATCCTTTATTGTGTTACTTATCAAAGTGCAAATTCTGCTAAATAGCAATAGTGTATTTCTATATTGCTTGCTGGAGGCCTTCCTGCTCTTTTTTATGAGCAAAATGGTAGCCTCCTCCTTCTGTAGCATTATCCAACGTTCTGCAGCCAAGATGGAGATTTGCATGTTGCTTCCTGGGTGAAATGGACATTTTCCTACCTTTTAAGGTCCATTATATGATCTATGACCCCTTGGACAATTTTTAAAATTAACTTCTAATACTGTGCCAAAATAACTCTTCCTGCCAAAATTGCTGTTTAAATTCTGGGTGTCTCAATCATGTAAAACACTTCTTCTGTTAGACTGTTTCTTCAAATTGTTCAGATTTACCTTTTTGTTGTGATAAATAAACTGGGCCACATTTTCAGTAATGTGATCTTTGAGTAAATTACTTTTCTGACCATTGCTCCATCTATTATACTCATGGTTCATGGAGTTACAATGCTGGTGATGCTCATTTTGAAAGACAAGTTTACTTTCCTTCCATCCCACCCTGTTTTAATCACCATTACTGTGATGTTTGTCCCCATTGCCCTTAATGATATCTAAATTTACTCTCAGCGCTCGCAATTGCTCCCACAGGTCCAATTAGAATCATAGAATTGTACAGCACAGTAAAAGTCCCTTCAGCACAAGTTGTCTATGCTGACCTGAAGTCCTATATAAATCTAGTTCCATTTGCTAGCATTTGGCCCATATCCCTCTCAACCCTTCCTATTCATATACCCATTCAAATGCTTTTCAAAAGCTGTAAGTGTACCAGCCTCTACCACTTCCTCTTGCAGCTCATTCCATACATGCACCACCCTCTGTATGAAAAAGTTTTCCCTCGGGTCTCTTTAATACCTTTCCCCTGTCACCTTAAACCTATGCCCTCTAGTTCTGGACTCCCCTACCCTGGGAAAAAGACCTTGGCTATTCACCCTATTCATGCCCAGAATGATTTGGTAAAGCTCTTTAAGGTAACCCCTTAGCCTCCGACATTCCAGGGAATTCTACCCAGCTTATTCAATCTCTCCCTATAGCTCAAACCCTCCAAACCCCAGCAACATCCTTTTAAATCTTTTCTGCACCTTTTCAAGTTTAGCAACATCTTTCCTACAGTTTGGAAGTCAGAAATGAAACAGTTTTTCAAAAGTAGCCTAACCAATGTACTGTATAGCTGCAATATGACTTCCCAACCCCCATATTCAATGCTCTGGCCAATAAATGCAAGCGTACCAAACACCTTCTTTACTACCCTGTATACCCATGATTCCCATTTCTCTGAGGTTTTCAGCTCATCCCAGTGTAGCTAGCTTTTACCCTTTTCCTAGCCCACACAATTTTCTCTCTGCATCAGATCATCACTGAGATGAAGGTTTCCTGCTGCTTTCACTGTGCTGCCGCACCGATCACTGCAGCTGTTTATTGGTTTTCACATTTCAGCTACTGTGTTCATGCCTTCTTAAAGTGGAAATCTTATTAAATCAGTAATTTTGCTTGTTGTGAAAACCTTCTTTTTCTGCGTGAAATAGATTATCTCTACTGTTGTTACATTCAGGTATTTCTGCAATGGTGCCTACCACTGATCATCACGTTATATTGGGCTCAGGGTACTGATCACTGTTTGGGGTATACACTGTCACTAAGCCTCCTTTCTGTGCTGAGCCTAAGGCTCAATTTAGTAATCAGTGGTAGAGAATAAACCACCAGAGAATCTTAAAAAGAAGATGCATTTTCTTATATAACAAGGAATAATTTATTGTGTAATAGCAATAGATACAATTAACATTAACAAGCCAGGCATAATTACAACTATCAGGAGTTAGGCATTTCACATAAGTTTCATTGGGACCTCATTTAAGACTAACAGTTCCTCTACCCAAAGATGGTGTGACATCCTCAATATCATTACCTTATACAACACCGTAGACATTTTGTCCACTGAAATAATTTAGTTATCATATTTTTTCTTTATCATTTTGTTCTTTTATGAAACTGTTAATGTCAACATATTGAAGTTAGCAATTCACTGTGAGAGGAAACGCTGAGAATGATCCATACACCAATACAAGCATAAGCCACCACACTATCACATCAGTTTTGCATTTGAACTAGAAAGGTAGGAAGGTACTATAATGTATTAGCTTCCCAGTGTGTTTCTACAGGATGTGGACTATTCCTAACAGTTCTTTCCATGATGTGATTCTTGACTTTGCCCTGGATTTAATGGAGGGATGTGATGCAGTTCTGGAGTACATTACCAAGAGAAGAGACATCATATGTGAAGTTGAAGAGACTATCAACAGCCTATCAAAAATGTAAATTGTGGAATCACGACCAGTATTGCCTTTTGCTGCGCTGACTTACTCTATCATCATTTCAAATACCGGTGTAAAGTAACATAATATTGGAGGTTAAGTAAACAAAGCCCACCAGATGAAAATATGTTGCAACAGACATATCTCTGAAGCCTATAAGATATAATGATAGGAATTTTCTTGCAAATCATGGTGTAGGATAAAAGTATTTTTTTAACATTTTTTCAGTTTGATACGTGATTTCCGAGCTATGTTAGAACTTAATTTCTTTTCAACATTGTTTGACAATTGTTCTGTTTTAATAGAAAGCAATACGAAAAACAGAGGCTAAAATGCAATGGAAACAAGAGCAGATGGTGAGCAAGGAACATGAAGTTGGAAAACAACGATTAGCGCATGAAATCCAGCTGATGCTTCAGAAGTGTGAAATTGAAAAAGAAAAGGCTGTAGCTGAAGCCATAGAAAAAGAAAAGCAACTTGCATCCCATACTCTTGATCAAGTGGTAACGTAAGTTCTTGGATCTCATTATATGTGTCAGGTTTGTGCAATAATAGCTGCAGATATCTTTGCAGCATTTGGAATAACTATGCAGCTAACTCTGCTGACAAGATCCTGTGCTTCCCATTATTGCAAAGTGGATGCACCATTTCTTTATTGGTAACATCTTGGTAAGTATGGTCCACTCTGCTAGGAATCATCCTGGCATACCTTTGCTCATGTTGAGAGAGACAGTGTTGTAGTAATATCTTTGGCAATCCAGAAGCACGTGCTAAGCTCTCGGGACTTGCTGTTAAATTGCAACACAGCAGCTGGTGGATATCAAGTTCAAATGATAAATCCGGTATTGAAAACTCATCAGAACATTGGTGGCTGTGAAATTAGCATTGATTGTTATTAACGCCCATTTAACCTCTTGGTTCAAGGGAAAATAGGGATGGGCAGTGAATGCTGGCATTGCCAATGACAAAAATTAATGAAGAAAAATAATCAGTCTGGTGGAGCAAGACATACAGTGGTCCAAGTAAGCATCTGGCATCACCATTATTGAGATATTGCCATGTTTTCCTTGTCCCACTATGACACTAGAATGTTTACCCAACATCTTTTGATGGCTGTTGGTGGGAAAGGTTATTACTAGCGTTCTCACAAAAAATTCTAACAGGAGCAGATAAAGTAAATGCAGGAAGGATGTTCCCAATGATGGGGGAGTCCAGAACCAAGGGTCACAGTGAAGGATATGGGGTAGTTCATTTCGGACTGAGGTGAGAAGAGATTTCTTCACCCAGAGAGTGGTGAGCCTGTGGGATTCTCTACCACAGAAAGTGGTTGAGATCAAAACATTGAATGTTTTTAAGAAAGAGCTAGATGTAGTTCCTAGGGCAAATGGGACCAAAAGGTACAGGGAGAAAAAGGCAAACAGGGTACTGAGTTGGATGATCAGCCACGATCATATTGATTGGCAGAGCAGACTTGAAGGAGCAAATGGCCTACTCCTGCCCCTATTTTCTAGCTTTTCATGTGTTAGTCATGGCTTAGAACCAAGGAGTACATCAGGGCCTATTCACCAATACAGGGATTGAGGGGGTTAACTGTCGCTGAGATTGCAGGGGTGGGGAGCTGCAATGCTTGGGGCAGGGTCATTTTGCATACATCCGGATTGGAGCTGGCACATGTGGGTACGGAGCAGGGTTGTTTACCCGGGTTTGGGGCACATTGCCACTGTCTGTGGTTCAGCAAGCAAACCTGCTACGCACAGATCAGGGCTAGGTCAAGGGAGCCAAAGGCCCATATCCACAGGAGCATCAGGATCTATGATTTCTGTCCCCGCCTTTGGTGTCAAAAAGGATTAATTTATTGCCATTGAGATTGACTCTAATTGCAAACTTTAAAATACTGCAGATGAAACTTGCAACAGGAGTCTGCAAGCATTCTGGGAAATACCTACAGATCCCAATTTGTGAACCATTGATCTAGGTGTATTATAAATGAAAAGTAAGTTCATATATAATGTGTTGAACACTGTGTACATTTCTGATCCATGTATTACATGAAAAAGGATATAGAAGCTTTTGGGAAGGTTTATAAAGAAGTATACAAGAACTGAGAGATCACATCTATCAGGAAAGATTCAACAGCTGTTTTTTTTCTGTTGAGGACAGAGAAGGCTGAAGGGGGATTATTAGATGCTGAACTTTCAGAAGGGTTGTGACTAGGTAGGGGGGCTGATGGTGTTTCCAGGACTCTTAAATATAGGAGTAATGTAATTGGAGATTCAGGACAAATCTCTTCACTTAGATATTGGTTAGAATGTGGAACTTTTCATCACATGCAATATTGATGGAACTGCTCTTAATCTCCTACCTCTTGCATATTTACAATATGTAAATGATAATCTTGCTACATTTGAATTTGCAGCTGTAATTTCAAATGCCTTTACATGTCTTAATATGCTCCATCCTACACTCAAATTCACGTTTGAAATGGAGCAATTAAAAAAAAACTCCCTTTCCTCAATGTCCTCGTTGAAAAATCAGTCAAGGATTTCTTTTCTACTGTTTAGCACAAAAATACTTTTGCTGGTCAGTAAATATGTTGGGATCCCTACAATTCCCTGGGCTATAACATTGACTTTATTGAAAACCTCACAAATAGGGTCCAAGTCTTTGTTCATTGTGCAAACTCATGGAAGGCCCTAAAGAGATCACTTTCCGTCTTGAAATGTGCCTAGTCTACCTCAGGTTACCCTGGAATAGTAAGATGTCTTAAAGGATTGAGCAACAGGTGGTGCTAGTTGTTTCACATTGCTACAATACATAGGACATTCTAAAGACGAGCAGATGATATCCAACAGCATGTCCCTTTGCAACAAAAAACAAAGTTGCTGGAAAAGCTCAGCAGGTCTGGCAGCATCTGTGAAGGAAAAAACAGAGTTAACGTTTCGGGTCTGGTGAAAAGGGTCACCGAAACGTTAACTCTGTTTTTTCCTTCACAGATGCTGCCAGACCTGCTGAGCTTTTCCAGCAACTTTGTTTTTGTTCCTGATTTACGGTTTTTATTTAGCATGTCCCTTTGGCTGTTTGCAAAAGCTGGACACTTACCATTACCAACCAGCTAGTGTTTGCAAACCTCACAACACAGTGTCATTAGGTATGATTCTGCAGTTGGACAACATTTGCCAGATAATCCTGAACATGTGAGGCATTATAGTCACTGACAACCAATTACGGATCGTCAATCCACCTTGTATGGCACACTTGCATGTACTGGAAGATATGTATAGTCATGTACAGGGCCCTGTTCTTTGCAGACAGAAAGAACGTATACACATACTGCATCTGTTTCAAAGTCAACAAAATAGGTGAAAGCCATTCTCAGGTTCATTTCTCAGTGCAATGCCCTAACCAACAGAATCAACCCACCTGATTTAAAATAAAACAAAGCCTGACAGTTAACTCTTAAACAGCATTAACGGGTGTATTCTCCGTGGAAATACCAATCAGACTCCACCTCCCAACCAATCAGTACTCTCTTCTCACACAGTATAAATTTTGGTTTCCTCTTGAATTTGTATTCTTGCAAAATGCCCTGAAGAGTGCAAAATGAAAAGTTTCAACAAAATGTGTCTTTTTTCAGCAATACTTAAATGTTCATTTTCTTCACTTGTAAACTCAATTTGATATTTGAATGAAGTGAGTTGGGAAAATTGTATTTTGTAATTGCAATAAAACTCACAATCAAAATTTTAAAAGAACAATATCGTGGGGTTACATTTTCTGCTCATTCAGCTGGAGGTTCCCAAACGCACAAATGTTTTTGCACCAAGCTTGGCCTCAAGTATACCAGCAGCAGAATAAGGCTGGAGTCTGTACAAATAATAAACCTGAAACTTATCATAACTGTTTGATTTTGCTCCTTCACTTCTAAATTCATCTTGGTCACTCCATTGAGTAAGGCTGAATGATTTGTGCTGAATTATGAGCAGTTATATATGTGAATTTACAATCAAAAGTAACATAATTTGATTATGAGTCACCAAATGTTATTCATTTGGATCTCATACGACCAACAAAGTAACGAGACAATTAATTGGACTCAGCTCAAATGCAGAACCCGGAACTGAAAGAATAGTATGTTAATTCAGCACTAGACCAAGAGCATATAATTATATTACAGTTTCAAATGTGTTATTTTTCAGTGTGAAGTACTAATACTACGTTTGTTTATTTTTAATCAGAAAGATAAAAACTGATGCTGAAACACAAAGTCAATCCATTCTACAAGAAATTTTGGAGATCCAAAAAGCAGAATATGAAGAGAAGATCATGAGTGAAGTTGCTAAAGCTCGTGCTGAAGAAAAGGCACAAGCTATGGAACCCATCCGCATCCTACAAAGTAGACATCAGTCTGAAATAGACATGTTGAAAAGATTGCTGTGTGAGAAAGAGGTTGACCTCAAAGACGTTTACAATAAAGTGGAAACCATGACCATCTTGGAATTAGAGCTAGAGACTGAGCTACGAAACACAAGGGCAGCTTTTCAAGAGTACATTAATCTTACCTACTCAAATTTAGCTCCTGGGCAGGCAGATTTCATTCTTCCACCTCGACAAATGTGCAAAGATTCACTTACGACCGACAAACCCCAAAAAGCTCAAAAACGTCCCGAAGAGAAATAAAGAGTTAAAAAAAAGGAGTGTTTTCACTTTTGTTAAACTCGAAACAAAATCATACAGTAATTATAACTTATACTAAACTTGTCAGCACCCTGCGGTTATATTTAGTAATCCACTGCATCACTACAATAACAAATATTATCAAAATTATCATAAAATTTAAAATTATTATTTCAACTAAATAGTAGAATAGATGCCCCAGTGTCCCCAGATTTGGTACAAGAAAGAAACCTGAACATCAACAACCTTTCAAAAACTTGAACCAGTTAAAATTTCTTGAAGGGAGATGATACTATAGTGGCAATGTCATTGAACTGGCAAAGCAGAAGCCAGGCTAATCTCCTGGAAAAAGGAATTTAAGTCCCATAATGGTGGGCAGCAGGGTTTAAATTAAATTGATAAAAGCTAGAATTGAAAGCTATTTTCAATAATGGCATCATGAAGCTGTTAGTTGTTGTAAACAACAACCAATCTAGCCAACTAATGTCTTTGCGAGATGTAAATCTGCTCTCCTGATACAGTTTGGCCTATGTGTGACTTCAGACCTACACCAATGTAATTGACTGTTAATGGCCCCATGAAATGACTGAAAAAACCCATTACATTCAACAGCAAGTAGAGATGAGCAACAGATGCTGGCCTTGCCAGAGATACTGAAATACCATTAAAAATATTTTAAAATGTGGAAACTTGTTTTTAGTCATTGAATATTTGTATTTGACAGATGACACCAGAAAAATTGAATTGATGAAGGGGTAGTTGATTCAGATGGAAGAAATTCAAATATGCACACAGAACTGAATTTGTGATTGAATTTGCTACTATTAATCCAGTTCCCATATACTTACTGAAAGAGAGTTATGTTATAGTTGCGTACCAGAACTTCAAGAGAATCCGTGGATGGAGGTCAGTGTACTAGCCATCACTGAGGAGAAGGTGCTGGGAAAGCTGAAAGTTCTGAAGGTGGATAAATCGCCCATACTAGATGGACTACAGCCCATGGTTCTGAAGGAGATCGCTGAGAAGATTGTAGAGGAATTGGTGGTGATATTTTAGGAATCACTGGGGTCAGGGAGAATCACAGAGGACTGGAAAATGGCTAATGTAACACCCCTGTTTAAGAAGGAAGGGAGGCAGCAGATAGGAAACTATAGGCTGGCTAGGCTGTTGGCAAGATTTTAGAGTCCGTCATTAAGGCTTGCGGAGTACTTGGATGTGCATGGTTAAATAGGATTGAGTCAGCACGGCTTCATCAAAGGAAGGTCACGCCTGACAAATCTGGCAGAATTCTTTGAGGAGGTAACAAGCAAGTTACGCAAAGGAGAGCCAGTGGATGTGATCTATTTGGATGTCCAGAAGGCCTTTGACAAGGTGCCACATAGGAGGACACTAAATAAGATGACAGTCTATGGTGTTAGGGATAAAGTACTGCCTTGGAAAGAGGCTTATCTACTACTGATCTTGATGAAGGAATGCAGATATTGTTGCTAAATTTGCAGATGGTACAAAGGCAGGTGGAGGGATAGGTAGTGGGGAAGCGGGGAGGCTGGAGAAAGACTCGGAGGATAGGAGACTGGGCAATACAATGGAATACAATGTGGGAAAGTGTGAAATTATACAATTTGAAAGGAAAAACAGAGGCATAAACTATTTTCTAAATTGGGAAATACTTCAGAAATCTGAAGCAAAAAGGCATTGAGGGATCCTAAGCTTAACATGTAGATTCAGTTGGCATTTAGGAAGAGAAATGCAATGTTAATATTAATTTCAAGGGGGCTGGCACACCAGAACAGAGATAGACTGCTAAGGCTGTATAAGGAGCTGGCTAGACTGCATTTGGAATATTGTGAGCAGTTTTGGGCCCTGTATCTGAGGAGGGATGTGCTGACTACAGGGAGTCTAGAGGAGGTTTACAAGAATGATTCCAGAGGTAAAGGGCTTGTCATTTAAAGATCGGTTGAGGCCTCTGGGTCTGTACTTAACAGAGTTTGGAAGGATAAGGGGGTATCTGATTGAAACTTACAGAATACTGAGAGGTCTAGATAGAGTGGACGTGGAGAATTTGTTTCCATTAGTAGGAGAGACGAGGACCTGAGGGCACATCCTCAGAGTGAAGGTAAGACCCTTTAGAACTGAGATTAGGAGGAATTTCTTCAGCCAGAGCGTGGTTAATCTGTGGAATTCATTGCCACAGAAGATTTTGAATGGATTTAGGACAGAGATAGGTTCTTGATTAGTGAGAGGATCAAAGGTTACAGGACGAAGGCAGGAGAATGGGGTTGAGAAATATATCAGCCATGATTGAATGGCAGGGCAGACTCAATGGGCCAAATGACGGAATTCTGCTCCTGTAATTTATGATTTTGTAGGTAAACTAGTTACTTGTATTTGATTTTGAAGAGTTGAGACTCCTTCTTATCAAGAGATACAAAAAGTGTCCATTCAGGAACCCATATTTTGATGTACTAAAGTCCTTACATTAGATAATAGGTTTGTAAAGTGCAACTTATGACAGAACTTGTCATCTTAATAAAAACAGAAATTATTGGAAACACACAGACCTGATGATGTATTTGCTGAGAGAAAATGTTAACATTTCCATTGTGTGACTTTTCACCATTTTAATAACTGTAGGAAAAAAAATATAACCGTGGTCACAAAAGGAAGAATATTTTCAAACCAGGAACATACCATAACCATTTCACAATGTTTGGTAACGTGGTACTGTGTAGATGTTCATCTTCACAGTCTGTGAAGCACAGCAAATGTGGTAGCCAGGATTGTAACATAAAACAGCTGATTTTCGTCTTCCTGAAAGTAGAAAAGATCCAGAGAGTTCTGATGTTCATTTGTGTCTTTCATGCGGGCATTAAAAATGAAAGTATAAAACCTAAATTTTGCCAAAAGTAAATATGCTGTGCATCACTGTAAAAGAAGCTCTATCCTGACCATGCCAATGCCACAGTGAACTGCTGATATAAAACACAGCGGTATAAAATATATCTGTAACCTTGAAAATTGAATCAATGATATGAGAGGATAAACAATAAGTCACATGGCTGATCTGACATTCCTCATGTCCACTTTCATTCCATTACCCTTGATTCCCCGACTGATCAAGAATGTAACTCAGCCTTAAATATACACAAGGAGATTGCTCCCACAGCCCAAGGAGGCAGATTGTGTGCTATTGGCATTTTCCCTAAAGCTTTCTGTAATCGGTTGGCATACCATCTGGCCAGTGTTGAGCAGGAAAACACAAAGACTTGCACTGCTACAGAATCATTCACACCACAGGTCATCTCAAGGTGCTTTACAGCCAGTCAACTACTTTGGAAGTGTGGTTCCTCTCAGCAGGAACATTAGCAATAGAATATACTGGCTATTTAACATTTGCAGGCATTTTTCATTGAACCGGCATTCTTGCACCTTTTCAGTGGCGGAGACATGTTCTGGGGTGAGGCTAGGGACTTCGGATTCTTGCCCAGGGTCAGTCTAGGGGACTTCAGCTACACCCCGGCGCCCATCAGCGACAGAGTTTAGCCCCAGGGACTGAGAGCGGATAAGTGAGTAGGGAATTCTCCGAGTGCTTCACATTACCAGTGAGCTGCAGAAGGCACTCCACAGCTCACCTCCTCACTCCCTGACTCCGCCATGTTCCCAATCCTGAGATCTCTCTCTCTTTCTCTCTCTCATTCATATAGCCGATAGGCTGCAGACCTGCACTTGCTGCTTTTGGTCCCCTTACTAATTTGATCCCCTCACTAATCAAGAACCTATCTCTGTCTTAAATCCATTCAAAGTCTTCTGTGGCAATGAATTCCACAGAGTAACCACCCTCTGGTTGAAGAAATTCCTTCTAATCTCAGTTCTAACGGGTCTTACCTTTACTGTGAGGCTGTGCCCTCAGGTCCTCGTCTCTCCTACTGATAGAAACAACTCTCCACATCTTGGAAGCAGGAGGGGGAGAGATTGCTTTGTGAAAGGCTGGCCTTTACCCAATAGCAGCAAGTGCAGGTCCGCAGCCTATCGGCTATATGAATGAGAAAGAGAGAGATCTCAGGATTGGGAACATGGCGGAGTCAGGGAGTGAGGAGGTGAGCTGTGGAGTGCCTTCTGCAGCTCACTGGTAATGTGAAGCACTCGGAGAATTCCCGAGACAACAAGGTGCAGGTCACTTATCCGCTCTCGGTCCCTGGGGCTAAACTCTGTCGCTGATGGGCGCCGGGGTGTAGCTGAAGTTGGAAGGAAGAGGAAATATGAGCCGGGACAGCGCAACAGGTAAAGAAGGTCTGTGTAAGCAGCGAACCCTGCAAATGTTAAATATTGGGGAGCAATTGTTAATTTTGCTTTTTGCAGTGATCGTGGGTTTGTTCTGAATAAAGATAAGGATTGGGAAAAGCAGGGGAGTCAACGGAAGAGTTGCTGTGGGACTATGGTACAATATCGCACTGAACAGCCTCACTGTGCTACTGCTGAGCCTAACTGCACCTAGTGTTCCCCGTCCCTCTGTTAACTATTGCAAGCTCCAATTTTTTTGTTAATCGCTCTTTTTCCTTTTTTTTAAAAAAAATGATCTGCTGTTCCTGTACGTCAGGACTTGGCAACGAAGCTGTTAAACCGCATTTTTAGAGCGTTCTTCGTAAAATGTCTTGGTTGTTCATTTTTCATTGGTAATTTTGAAGAGATGGGTCTCCTAAACTGGGGAAACGGGGCCTGGTCACTGGTCACTGGTTTTCACCAGACTGCAAGCTACAAGCATTTGGTGAGGTCTTGCCATTGGATCGGTATGTATGTGTGTGTGTGTGTTTTGTGAACAAAACGACAAATATTTCTCCAATTTTTTTTGACATGACGAGGATACCCCACTAGTGAGATGGGATTTTGATGACAGTAACTTTAACGCGCTTAAAAAAAATTGTGGAGACGATAATGTAACTAACGCAAATAGTTCTATACCTACCGGGATAATGTCATGCAGTAAATTCATTCTCGTAACAATT